TATATATATATATATATATATATATATATATATATATATATATATATATATATATATATACACAGTATATACACAGTAGTCCCTTGTTTATCACGGGGGATCCGTACCCTGAAGACCCGCGATAAGTGAAAAACCACGAATTGGGAATAGTAGCGCAAGTAGTAAGTAGTAGTTTATATATTATAAAGGCGTTTTAAAATCTTCCTACACTCTTGCAATATTCTAAACATCCATCCATCCATTATCTTTTACCTGCTTCTTCCATTCTGGGTCATGGGGTCGCCGGTACTCATGTCCAGCAATCACTGTGCGAGGGGCGAGGTACATCCTGGACAGGTCGCAAGTCCATCACAGGATATTCTAAACAATGTTTCTAAACTCTAAATGCTCTAAAAGAGCACAGCATGTCATGATTTCAGCTCCCTGCCTCCTCTGCTCTCAGCCACCTGCAAGCGCTCTTGGCCGCGCCCACTTCTCAGCTTTGCATAAAGAACAGTTGATCAGCTGCAGCAGGAAGTTTATCCTGCAGTAAGGGTTACACAAAGCTGCAGGAGGGGGCTTTTCTGCAACTGTGGGCTGCACAAATGTGCAGGAGGTGCTAAATAATTTAAAATAATTCATTTTAAATAAAAATTCCATGTCGATCATGCGGCTCATCCATCAATCAGCCAATTGTGTCATGTCCAGTCTTATTTTGAACAACCACGATATATATATATATATATATATATATATATATATACATACACTAAAATAAACTACTACTTACTACTTGTACAACTATTCCTACTTTGTGGTTTTTTTCACTCATCACGGGGCTTCACGGTACGGGTCCCACTGTACAACCCATTAAAAGGCATTAAACAAACCACTAAGGAAGTTTAACACTATATGAAACAAAGCATACAATAAAAAATTGCATTCCTGGACAGTGATTCAGTAAATATTTTGCTGACAGACACAGCCAATTACAAAACTAACTGCATGGTAGCGAGTGATTACAAAGTAGAAAACATTTAAGCAATTGAAATCAAGAGAAATGACCAAATGCTGTTTTTAAAACCTGCAGAAATTGATTTCCTCGGCTCCCAGGTTCTTTCAGGGTTGTAACAAGAAGACGTGATGCAACACACACCTGTGAACTCTCACGTGTTGTTGGACTCAATTGTATTTGCTAGCAACTGCACACTTTACATTACACATTTTGAGTGTTTTTCTGATGTAGTGTTTTCTGTTTTTTTTTTTTTTTTTTTGTAAAAGTATGTTTTTTTCTTACATAAAATGTGAAGAGACATTTAAGAACTGTATCATTTTGACTGTTTCAGATCAGATAAAATACAAAATACTTCAATGGATTGTTTCTAGTTGGCAGATTTTATTTCATTTGTTACACAAAAACTCACCTTTTGGACTGAATTTGAACTTTCTTGTTTAGATTTGTGTCATAATATGAACTTATGTCTTCATGATGCTTGTGTAATGCAGAAAAAAAGGTTTTCCATATGAACTCCCATTCACCCTTGATAGAATATCTTATCTTCGCTCCAAGTTTCAGGCACTGAGCCAACAGAGACTTCCTCTTGAATAAACTGACTGCAATAAGAAAAGAAGGGGGAGATCAGAGTAGAAACAGAAAAGATGGAGAGATCAGTGCATTCTTATTGTCGTGTTCATCGTCTGTGTAATAGCTCATGCATGTCTGCAGCCGTGTGCACTTCTGTTCTTATTTCTAAAAAGAAGAATAAGGGTCTGGGGTGCAGGGAGCTTTGAGAACAAAGAGATGAAAAGGCAGACTGATATCAGGCACAATAGCTGGTTTGTATCTTTATTAGAAGGGAGCAGTCACAGTTCATCCTAACCTTGGCTGACTCACAGCTGCAGTTGATTTTATTAGCATCAAAACTGACGCCAAACCTTTTTCTCTTTTCTCCATTGCCCTCTTTCTTCTCTGGCTGATCTCTTGCATCCTTTCCTCTGCCACGGCCCCAGAGGGAGCACCCAGCAGGGTGAGTAGTTTTCCACGTGTGCTTCGATATGTTTTGTGCACCAATGTTTCACTGTGATTGTGTGACGGTGATCAATGGAGGGAAATGGAGACATACTGTTAACAAAAAATCAAAAAGGCAGAGTGTAGCTGGAGCTGATCCAGGAGTATCAGGGCTTGACAAGCAGCTCAAAAGCTGCTCATCAACCTTGAGCTTCTTAAGGTTTCCTACATTAGAGCTACAACATTTCACTGGAGGGACCTAAAGTGATAATGCTCTAAACGAGTTGGGTGAAAGACCCACCAAATATTTCCTAACCAACCACCAACATTAATTTGATTAATTGTATCCCAACACAAACCAGTCTACAGTATTAATAAGAATACGATTACATAACTGGTATTGTGCTAAAGAGAAAGCCGAGACTGAGTTTTACAGTATAAGTTAGATGCAGTGCTGATTTTTCATCATACAGTTTCACATAAATAAATGTGTCCTCATTTCTTAAATGTGATAAACATTTTGTGCAACAGTTCATTAATCAAAGCTTGTCCTGGGCCTGGTTCTGCTGGAGGTTTATTCCTCATGAGGGAGTTTTTCCTTTCCATTGTTGCCTTTGTGCTTGCTCAAGATGAGTCTGAGATGGAGTTAAATTCAAAACTCCTCAGATAAATAATGTTCATAACTTACTTTTATGTATATGAATGTTTCTGTTCAGTGCCCTGAGATGACTTCTGTTGTGACTTGGCGTTATATAAATAAATTGAATTGAACTGACCTGTTCTGTGCACAGGTAATTTAGCAGTTTTTTGCCCCCATTTTTTTTGTCATCAAATACTATTTTTTTTTAGATTAAAGACTGAATGAAGGTGGAAATAATATAAAAGAATAAAAAAGAATGCAAATATTTGTTCTCGTCTATACATTAGTCCCTCACTACTTCACGGTTCGATTTTCGCAAACTCGTTTTTTCACGGTTTTTCAACATAAGATTGCGCATGACACAATTGTCAACTTTAATATTACTCATGTGATTGATACGTTATGGGACAAAAAGTTTAAGAAAAAAAAACTTTGGATAGGCACTGCCATTTTGTAGTTTTCTTTCAATTAGCCTATACTGTAAAGCCAGTCAAATGAACTACACTACCCAGAAGCCAGCAGTGCTTCCGGCCTCTGCTTTCTGCCAAAATGGAGGGCAAGTTTTGCAACACAAATTCAGAAGTAATAATCTTATCTATTAAGCTCACAGAACTGGCAGGAAAGTCTAAAATAATCCTGAACCTTCCTGAAGCTTAGTTATTCACGTGCACAGCAACGTGGATGGGGCAGTGGGCTTCGATCTCTGCAGGGTAGGTCTGCAGAACCAGAACCAAGCTTGACCAAAACCAAGCTGTTGGTCTGCAGAGCTGGTGAATACTCATATAAAATTGTGCAGTACTGTACAGTACATATACGTATGTCATTAAAATTACATAGGTTTAAGAGTTTAGAACATTGCAAGAGTGTGGG